TTGTGATATGATGTTGCTTTCTCTATTGGACTGTCACTTAGCATGTGATGTGAATTCCTTACTTACTTAGGCAGTGTTTACACTTGTTTACATAGACTCGCCCATAGGTAGCAAGTCCTGTGTTGGTTGCTCTTCAGCAACTGACACTGGACTATAGGTATAGTACACTCATTAGTTTACACAACACAATAGCAACTGACACTGGACTATAGTCCTGTTCACTCTCATTAGCTCACTTGTGGCTTGGTTCACTTGGTTATTCTAACAGGTTATGAGCCCTGCGCTTTAAGGACCTCAAGTCATTCATTCCTCATCCAACTGCTGCTCCACTCCTTCCCTAGTGTATTCCATCGCATTCTACGCCCCAGGAAACCCTTATCTTTGTGTCTGAGCACCATTTGGACTGTTGGAACACCCATTGTGTTGCTTTTGAGGAGTTCAACCAAGTGGCTTTGTTGAAATTTTCCATAGCCCCTTTTGGTCATCTACCCCCTGTTGCTCACTCCCACCCCTGTTGCTCCCTGTCCTGTCCATTGCTTTCCTGAACGTCCTGCATCATCCTAGACCGTCCTGCTTGCCACCCAATCCCTTGCTATGTCACCCATGACTATCACTCAACTCAGCTCTTCCAACTATCTTATCTGGAGATCAGAGATGGAGTCTTACCTGCGCTCCAAGGGCTTGTGGCTGCTTGTCAGTGGCTCTGAGAAGCGTCCTGCAGACTCACAGCCTGAGGCACAGGCTGTATGGGACCTTAAGGCTGACCAAGCTGCTGGGGAACTCTATCTGGCTTGCCCATTGGAGATGAGGTCCCAGATTGATGCTATTGAAGATCATCCTGTGCTTATCTGGTCTGCCCTCGCCTCCCTATACTCTGGACAGCGTCGTAGCAGGAGGAAGAAGACCAAGAAGCTCTCCAGGAAGACTCAGAGTCTCACAGACCCCATTGCATCGCCCTCTCCCACTCCCTTTCCTATTCCTATCAACTCTACTATCATTGAGTTTGCTGGCACTGCTTGTCTTCGCTCTTTTGACCCTTCAAGCACCATCTGTCCCCTTCAACTTGATGCTACTGTCGACTGGAATGCAGACACAGGTGCCACATCCCACATGACCCCTCATCGTCACTGGCTTCGCAATTACACTCCCAATCGCATCCCTATCAAGCTAGCTGACAACACCTTTGTCTACTCTGCTGGTGTTGGCACTGTGGTCTTCAACCCAGTCATTGATGGCAAGAGCGTTAGACCTGTCGAGTTTTCAAGAGTGTTGCATGTCCCTGACCTTCGCAACAACCTGCTCTCTGTCCTCTACCTCACTCGCCACAGTGGCTTCCATGTCACCATTGACTCCACCAAGATGTCATTTCAGCGTCCTACAGGCACCACACTGTTTGTTGCACCCATCAGCAGCAGCAATGCAGCATTCTTAGATGGCTCCACCGTCCCTCTCTCTGAATATGCCTCTGCAGCGACCACTCTACCTCTGGACTTGGACCTATGGCACAGGAGACTCGCCCACCATCACTTGGCAGGTGTCAAGAAGCTAATTGATCATGACATGGTCACTGGACTCAAGCTAGATTCAAAGAAGATGCCAGATCCCATCTGTGAGCCATGCTTAGCTGGCAAGATGCATGCAAACCCATTCCCCTCATCTCAATGGCGTGCTACTCGACCTCTGGAGCTTGTCCACACCGATGTCCATAAGGTCCCCTACCCCAGCTTCTCTGGCTATCGCTATTGGGTCACGTTCATCGACGACTTCTCTCGATTTCGCTTTGTGCTCCCTATTAAAGCTAAGTCTGATGTCTTTGAGGCTTTCAAGACATTCAAGGCCTATGCTGAGAACCAGTCAGAGCGAAAGCTAAAGATCCTCAGAGATGACAAGGGAGGGGAGTACATGAGCAATGCCTTCATTGAATTCACCACCCAGTGCTGGCATTGAGAGGCAGCACACAGTTCGTGCTAGACCACAGCAGAATGGGGTTGCTGAGAGAGCTAACAGAGTCCTCTCTGAGCGACTCACTGCTATGCTGGACGAGTCTGGGCTTCCCAAGGCCTTCTGGGGCGAATGCCTTGCTGCTCTGGTCCATGTCTGGAACAGATGCCCTACCGAAGCTGTAGACAGCGCTACACCCTATGAGCTGTGGCATGGTAATAAGCCTGATGTCTCACATCTTCGAGTTTGGGGATGCACTGCCTATGTGCACGTCCAGAGGGACAAGAGAGATGGACTTGGCTCCCACATGGAAAAGTGCGTCTTCATTGGCTACCCTGCTGGCTACAAGGGCTGGAAGTTCTACAACCCCACCTCCAAGAAGACAATCATCTGTGAAAGGGCTGACTTTGATGAAAGATACTTCCCTCTGTCCAAGCGCCCATCCAGTCCATCCATTCCAGCTCCCATCGCTCCAGCACCTCCTGTCAATGCTCCCCATCCTCCCAGACAGTCGAAGACTACCTCTGAGCCCCCAGCAGCGCCCTCCTATTACTATCCTCCTCATTCAGATGACTCTGACTCTGACTCTGACTATGATGAGTCCAGTTCTGATGAGTCACTGGATCAAGGGGGAGATGTGGTCCCTCCAGCAGTTCCTGATGTCCCTGCTGTCGTCCCTGTTCCTGATCCAGTCACTCCTCCTCCTGCAGCTCGTCCCAATCCACCTCCTAGACCACCGTCTCCCATAGGCATTGGTGCCAGACTCCCTCGACGCAACAGGCAACCTCCCAGAGACTGGTGGAAGCTCTCTCCAGCTCAGCTGACTGATGTTGTTGATGATGAGACTGAGGATGCTGACTTTGCTCAAGGATTTGAGCTTGCCTTGTCTACCAGCTCTTCCACCGAGCCATTGTCTTATAGGGAGGCATTGACTCGACTTGATGCAGAGCAGTGGAATCAGGCAGCTCTTGAGGAACTCAATGCTCATCGCAGCAATGGGACTTGGAAACTCGTACCTAGACCAGCTGGAATCAAGGTCATTGGCTCCAAGTGGATATTCAAGGTGAAGCGCAATGCTGATGGCTCTATTGAGCGCTACAAGGGCAGACTTGTTGCCAAGGGCTACAACCAGCGTCCTGGCTTTGACTATGTCGAAATATTTGCTCCAACTGTGCGTATGCCCACCATTCGTGTTGTCCTTGCTATGGCTGCCATCCATGACCTCCACCTCCGCTCCATCGACATCTCACATGCCTATCTCAATGGGGAGATGGACTGTGACGTCTACATGGAACAACCTGAAGGCTTTGCTGAAGGTGATCCCAAGAAGATGGTCTGCCTTCTTCAGAAGAGCATCTATGGAACCAAGCAAGGTGGCAATCGCTGGAACAAGAAAATGCGCTCTGTTCTCGAGTCTATTGGATTCACCCAGTCCTACTCTGATGCCAGCATCTATATCTATGTCAAGGGTGAAGTCAGGATCATCTTGCCTGTCTTTGTTGATGACATGACCTTTGCATCGAAGTCCGCTTCTGCAATTGATCAGATCATCAAGGACTTGTCTCAGCACTTCAAGCTTCGAGACTTGGGCCCTACCACCCAGCTTCTAGGCATCAAGATTGACAGGGATCGCTCCAAGCACTCCATCACCATCTCCCAGCACCAGTACTGCCTTGACATCCTTGATCGCTTCAGCATGGCTGATTGCAAGCCTGTCTCCACTCCCATGCAGCCCAACCTTCGACTCACTCGTGCTCAGTGTCCCCAGACTGCTGATGAGACTCAGGACATGCGATCCACTCCTTACCTTGAAGCTGTAGGTGCTCTGATGTATCTTGCCACCACCACCAGGCCAGACATTGCCTACACTGTTGGCTGTTTAGCTCGATTCAACTCCAACCCTGGCCCTGCCCATTGGCAAGCTGTCAAGCACCTGCTTCGCTATCTGAAGGGCACTGCAGACTACTCCATCACCTATGCTCCTGATCCCAATTCCATGGAACTCTTCTCCACATTCTCTGATGCTGATCACGGTGGATGCAAAGACACTGGTCGCTCTACTGGTGGCTACCTGGTCAAGATTGGCCTAGGTGCTGTCTCCTGGTCGTCGAAGCTTCAAAGCATTGTGGCCTTGTCCACTACTGAAGCTGAGTACATGGCTGCAGTTGAGGCAGGCAAGGAGATCCGCTGGATGCGAAATCTCTTGTTTGAGATGGGCTTCCCTGCCACTGCACCCTCTGTCCTTAGGATCGACAACCAGAGCGCCATCTCTGTGGCCAAGCACCCAGAGCACCATGGTCGGATGAAGCAGCTTGATCTCAGCTGGTATTGGCTTCGAGATGTGGTGCACAAGGAGATTATTGCACCAGTGTTTGTGCCCACTGCTGACCAGCCAGCTGACATCCTGACCAAGGCATTGGCTCGACCCAAGGTGCAGTTGTTCTGCCAGATGATGGGACTGAGTAGCTTGAGGGGGAGCTGAGATGTGTAGAGGTGCACAATCAGGGGGGAGTGTTAGTTGTGGTGATTGAGCACCTTATGGTGCGAGTTATTTGTGATATGATGTTGCTTTCTCTATTGGACTGTCACTTAGCATGTGATGTGAATTCCTTACTTACTTAGGCAGTGTTTACACTTGTTTACATAGACTCGCCCATAGGTAGCAAGTCCTGTGTTGGTTGCTCTTCAGCAACTGACACTGGACTATAGGTATAGTACACTCATTAGTTTACACAACACAATAGCAACTGACACTGGACTATAGTCCTGTTCACTCTCATTAGCTCACTTGTGGCTTGGTTCACTTGGTTATTCTAACAATTTCATCAGTATGATACCATGCACGATCTTGATGCAGTGAGGAATATACTGTTTCTTACTGTTGGGCGTAAGCTAACTTTGAATGCCTTCTTAGATATTGGACCACAGCATCACCTATGAGGAGATGATCGGGTTTCTTTCTGAAATGGTCAAGATAGCGGAATGAGAGGAGGAACACTCAGATAGAGGCACCCCAGCCATAACGGAGGTTGCCTCCTCCTCACTGTGGGAGGAATCACATGCCAGCTTTTTCTCCCTCCTGGAAGCGGAGGTCAGTAATGACATTGACTCAAGGAGCATTCCAGAAGATAAGCTAGCCCTCCGACCCACTGATGCAGCATCGTACACACCCACCAAAGTGTTCAAGATCTCCTTGGTGCTGAACGCTGTGGCAGCAACAAGTGAGCTTCCTGAGGGCGACGTCCAGCCAGAACCCATAAACGAACCTCCTAGTAGAGCCGTCATCAAGAAATCCTCTCGTGCTCACCCCCCTGCAACCATTTCCACTGGCAACCTGCCTACCGAGGAGGGCACCATCACTGATCCTGTTGCCAATCACGCTTCCAATGCTGTGGCCGGTTCCTCCAAACGCAAGGCTCCCAAGGATGTCGATAACAATGCACGGAAGAAGTCCCATGCCAGTGAGAAGAACTCACTTGCTAATGAAGGTGGGAAGAAGTCCCACGGGGGCAAGAAGTCCATCACTAGTGACTGGGTCAAGAAATCCTGCACCAGTGATGGCGGCAAGAAAAAGTCCGTTGTCATTGGTGCAGCTGAGAAGAAGTCTGACACTTCACATTCTCGTTACAACAATGATGAAGATTATGTCCCGGGTAAGGCATCGACATCTGGGAAGAGGAAGAACTAATCTATGCACCGGTTTGAATTCTCTTTTAAAAGTATCACCAATGTTATGGGTTTGAACCTGCTGCACAGAGGATATCTTTATACTATGTTGTTGTATGATACTTACCCCTTCGTCTATTTAAGCTGATGAATCTCTTATTGATACATGTCATCCCCATACCCATCACCAGCACCCATCATTTACCATTGAGAATTTGGACTTCAAGTTAGTTTTCCGTCATTGGTTCAGAGCACGTGATCTCCCATTTCTTCCTTGGTGGTTTTCATTTAGCGTCTTGCCTTGTCAAACTGCTCAGATTATCCTGGAGCAAGGTATACATTTATCTCTTCATCAATTTTGGTATCTCACGTTGTCTCTGGCACGTTCAAGTTTCCCCAACTCCAAGATTGCACAGATTCAAGAATACGCACTACTCTGCTTAATATGCAGCCATGCACCAGATGCCTTAAATGTTTGATAAGATATACACCGCAATAATGTTGTGCTATTTCCCACACTCACCTGTTACTGCCATGGCCCTGCATATGTGCCCCGCATGCGGATGACACGACTTCAAAACTTCCAAGGGCCTCCTTTCTCATATGGGACAGGCAAAAGGGTGCCGATGGTATCATAAGGGAAAGCTAAGGGATCTTGGGAATCTGGGTACATTTAAACATGCTGTGATCCTGGACGCTCTGGTTGAGGAGGGGGAGGACATGAACGTGGATGAAGGGGATAGAGGGGTTGATGAGTGGGATCCTGAAGATGCTCAGGAAGCATGGAACCAAGAGTTATTTGACCTCATACCTATGCGGCCTCCCACAGATGATGCTCCAGCAAGATCAGAATTGCCAGAGGTGGAAGAGCCCATTCAAGGTTCATCAAGGAGGGTTCTAAATGTTGATGAAGATTGCCAAGTGGTGGTAGAGCACCCAACTGCAGGCGCTATTATGAGGGAGGGCGAAACCGTTGTTGAGAGCTGGCATAGGCACATCCTTGGGGACCGACTTCAATTTGATGGTGACGGTGATGTTGATATGGATGGCGTTGCTTCCCGAAAATACTCACCCTTTGCTTCTGAGGTTGAGTGGAGGGTAGCCCAGTGGGCAACCAAAGAAGGTGTTGGACATAAATCTCTTGACCGCCTGCTGTCAATTACAGGGGTGAGTAATATGTGACTTTACTTATCATACTCACCACTTAATTCCAAACAGGTTGTTCAGAACCTTGGCTTATCATTTCACAACTCACGCGCTATGCATCAAATCATCAATACTATTCCATCACATTCGCTTTGGCACACCACCTACCTGTCCTTTCCAGATGATCCAGAGGAACAACACATGGTCCAGTATAGGGACCCACTAGAAGCCATACGCACTTTACTGGGAAATCCTGCTCATGCAGAGACCATTGTCTACAAGCCTTGCAAGGTTTTCTCTGATAAAAGCAAGGAAAATAGGATCTATAGTGAGATGTGGACGGGAAAGTGGTGGCATGCGCTCCAGGTAAGCTGATATGAATTCAATTGACGTATAACAACAACTCACCTATTTCTAGGAACAATTACCAGAAGGCTCAGCGGTCGCACCAGTGATCATAGTGACCGATAAGACACAGCTAACCCAATTCTCTGGCAGCAAATTGGCGTACCTAGTGTATCTCACTCTTGGCAACATCCCTAGAGCCATTAGGCGTAAGCCTTCCCAACAGGCATGTATCCTAATAGGTTACCTCTCCATGGACAAGATATCAAACTCCAAACTCTGCAAGAAGGAGAAAACGTCCAGAATCCAACATTTATTCCATGACTCTATGCATACAATCCTGGAACCTTTAAAGGAGGCTAGGCATACTGGGATGGACGTGGCGGGTGGAGATGGAAAGGTCAGGAGGATACACCCTATTCTTGCCTGTTATGTGGCCGACTATCCAGAACAGTGTTTGGTCACCTGTGTGAAGTACAGGACTTGTCCCAAATGTCAGAGCCCAGTGTCAGAGCTTGGTTCCAATACACCTGGAGAACCTTGCACTCAAGCATGGACCATGGGGGAGATCAAGGACACCAAATCCAAATCCCACAACCTCCATAAATTTCACTCGCTCTGTCAATCCAAGGGAGTTTCTGGTACCGTCAAACGTCCATTCTGGGAAGGATTTCCCTATTCCAACATTCATCTCTCCATGACGCCTGATGTCCTAACTCAGCTCTTCCAACTATCTTATCTGGAGATCAGAGATGGAGTCTTACCTGCGCTCCAAGGGCTTGTGGCTGCTTGTCAGTGGCTCTGAGAAGCGTCCTGCAGACTCACAGCCTGAGGCACAGGCTGTATGGGACCTTAAGGCTGACCAAGCTGCTGGGGAACTCTATCTGGCTTGCCCATTGGAGATGAGGTCGCAGATTGATGCTATTGAAGATCATCCTGTGCTTATCTGGTCTGCCCTTGCCTCCCTGTACTCTAGACAGTGTCGTAACAGGAGAAAGAAGACCAAGAAGCTCTCCAGGAAGACTCAGAGTCTCACAGACCCCACTGCATCGCCCTCTCCCACTTCCTTTCCTATTCCTATCAACTCTGCTATCATTGAGTTTGCTGGCACTGCTTGTCTTCGCTCTTTTGACCCTTCAAGCACTATCTGTCCCCTTCAACTTGATGCTACTGTCGACTGGAATGCAGACACAGGTGCCACATCCCACATGACCCCTCATCGTCACTGGCTTCGCAATTACACTCCAAATCGCATCCCTATCAAGCTAGCTGACAACACCTTTGTCTACTCTGCTGGTGTTGGCACTGTGGTCTTCAACCCAGTCATTGATGGCAAGAGCGTTAGACCTGTCGAGTTTTCAAGAGTCTTGCATGTCCCTGACCTTTGCAACAACCTGCTCTCTGTCCTCTACCTCACTCGCCACAGTGGCTTCCATGTCACCATTGACTCCACCAAGATGTCATTTCAGCGTCCTGCAGGCACCACATTGTTTGTTGCACCCTGTCGTCCCTGTTCCTGATCCAGTCACTCCTCCTCCAGCAGCTCGTCCCAATCCACCTCCTAGACCACCATCTCCCATAGGCATTGGTGCCAGACTCCCTCGACGCAACAGGCAACCTCCCAGAGACTGGTGGAAGCTCTCTCCAGCTCAGCTAACTGATGTTGTTGATGATGAGACTGAGGATGCTGACTTTGCTCAAGGATTTGAGCTTGCATTGTCTACCAGCTCTTCCACCGAGCCATTGTCTAAAGGGAGGCATTGACTCGAGTTGATGCAGAGCAGTGGAATCAAGCAGCTCTTGAGGAACTCAATTCTCATCGCAGCAATGGGACTTGGAAACTCGTACCTAGACCAGCTGGAATCAAGGTCATTGGCTCCAAGTGGATATTCAAGGTGAAGCGCAATGCTGATGGCTCTATTGAGCGCTACAAGGGCAGACTTGTTGCCAAGGGCTACAACCAGCGTCCTGGATTTGACTATGTCGAAATATTTGCTCCAACTGTGCGTATGCCCACCATTCGTGTTGTCCTTGCTATGGCTGCCATCCATGACCTCCACCTTCGCTCCATCGACATCTCACATGCCTATCTCAATGGGGAGATGGACTGTGACGTCTACATGGAACAACCTGAAGGCTTTGCTGAAGGTGATCCAAAGAAGATGGTCTGCCTTCTTCAGAAGAGCATCTATGGAACCAAGCAAGGAGGCAATCGCTGGAACAAGAAAATGCGCTCTGTTCTGGAGTCTATTGGATTCACCCAGTCCTACTCTGATGCCAGCATCTATATCTATGTCAAGGGTGAAGTCAGGATCATCTTGCCTGTCTTTGTTGATGACATGACCTTTGCATCGAAATCTGTTAGAATAACCAAGTGAACCAAGCCACAAGTGAGCTAATGAGAGTGAACAGGACTATAGTCCAGTGTCAGTTGCTTTTGTGTTGTGTAAACTAATGAGTGTACTATACCTATAGTCCAGTGTCAGTTGCTGAAGAGCAACCAACACAGGACTTGCTACCTATGGGCGAGTCTATGTAAACAAGTGTAAACACTGCCTAAGTAAGTAAGGAATTCACATCACATGCTAAGTGAGAGTCCAATAGAGGAAGCAACATCATAACACAAATAACTCGCACCATAAGGTGCTCAATCACCACAACTAACAAAATCTGCTTCTGCAATTGATCAGATCATCAAGGACTTGTCTCAGCGCTTCAAGCTTCGAGACTTAGGCCCTACCACCCAGCTTCCAGGCATCAAGATTGACAGGAATCGCTCCAAGCACTCCATCACCATCTCCCAGCACCAGTACTGCCTTGACATCCTTGATCGCTTCAGCATGGCTGATTGCAAGCCTGTCTCCACTCCCATGCAGCCCAATCTTCGACTCACTCGTGCTCAGTGTCCCCAGACTGCTGATGAGACTCAGGACATGCGATCCACTCCTTACCTTGAAGCTGTGGGTGCTCTGATGTATCTTGCCACCACCACCAGACCAGACATTGCCTATGCTGTTGGCTGTTTAGCTCGATTCAACTCCAACCCTGGCCCTGCCCATTGGCAAGCTGTCAAGCACCTGCTCCGCTATCTGAAAGGCACTGCAGACTACTCCATCACCTATGCTCCTGATCCCAATTCCATGGAACTCTTCTCCACATTCTCTGATGCTGATCATGGTGGATGCAAAGACACTGGTCGCTCCACTGGTGGCTACCTGGTCAAGATTGGCCTTGGTGCTGTCTCCTGGTCGTCGAAGCTTCAAAGCATTGTGGCCTTGTCCACCACTGAAGCTGAGTACATGGCTGCAGTTGAGGCAGGCAAGGAGATCCGCTGGATGCGAAACCTCTTGTTTGAGATGGGCTTCCCTGCCACTGCACCTTCTGTCCTTAGGATCGACAACCAGAGCGCCATCTCTGTGGCCAAGCACCCAGAGCACCATGGTCGGATGAAGCAGCTTGATCTCAGCTGGTATTGGCTTCGAGATGTGGTGCACAAGGAGATTATTGCACCAGTATTTGTGCCCACTGCTGACCAGCCAGCTGACATCCTGACCAAGGCATTGGCTCGACCCAAGGTGCAGTTGTTCTGCCAGATGATGGGACTGAGTAGCTTGAGGGGGAGCTGAGATGTGTAGAGGTGCACAATCAGGGGGGAGTGTTAGTTGTGGTGATTGAGCACCTTATGGTGCGAGTTATTTGTGTTATGATGTTGCTTCCTCTATTGGACTCTCACTTAGCATGTGATGTGAATTCCTTACTTACTCAGGCAGTGTTTACACTTGTTTACATAGACTCACCCACAGGTAGCAAGTCCTGTGTTGGTTGCTCTTCAGCAACTGACACTGGACTATAGGTATAGTACACTCATTAGTTTACACAACACAATAGCAACTGACACTGGACTATAGTCCTGTTCACTCTCATTAGCTCACTTGTGGCTTGGTTCACTTGGTTATTCTAACAAACATTTGACAAGATGGCGCCTTTCTGCAATCCTATTTTCAAGGATCTCTTTATTTCCCAGTGGTTTGGTGTCAAGGGTGAGGGAATATGCTTTGCTGACGCCTTCAAGCACATCCCCCATACCACTTTGGCTCTTATAGCCACAGCGGTGAGATTTAATTTCTTCATACAATCCTGTAATTTAATTAATGTAGGTTGAGTGCGCCCTCAACTCCTGGCATAATGGAACAAGGTCCCAAGTCAAATTCAGTGAGATGCAATTCCGTGCAAGGTGAGTAGCTCTTTGCTGGTTTTGTGATCCTAACACCATCTCATACACATCCAGATATCAATTTTACGCCAACAAGCTGGAGCGCATGCAAAAGGACTGTCCTCACTGGATGAAACAATTCAAGAAGGAACTATATGACAGTATTTGGTATACGCATTCTTTCTACATTAACATCTAGCTTCTAATGTACACCAACAGTAAAGAATCTGGCCATGAGTTGCTAGCGCCTCAGATGGATGATGAGGGTAGTGGTATTGAGGAGACCTATGCGGACATGGAAAAATCAGCTTTGTCCAGGATGGAAGGGAGCAGTGAAGGGAGGGTTGATGACAATGTTAGCACATGACCCTCTTAGCTTATATACCGTTTTCAATATAGTACATTGCAATGATCTATTATCGCTTTTGACGCTCCATGGCTAAATAAAATATTAAGGGAACTGTTGCATCTATTACATCTCTTATAGCTTTTGACACTCCATGGATAAGCAAAATATTAAGGGAACTGTGGCATTTATTACAACTGTTCTAAGCAATTCTAAGCATAGCACCTCTAGAAGGTATGGAGACTGTGGATGCTATGTCAACTATGGAGTTTTGGTATATTTTGTCCAGCTATATCGCACTCTATAATAGGCACTTATCTGTAGATCCTATGGTTGCCCTGGGTACCTATTGTGACTATATAAAGCTATATAGAGCTATATAACAGAACAGTTTTTCCTGATGAGGTAGGCAGGAGAGCCCAGATGGTGTGGAAAGGGTGAGTGGGAAAGCCCAGATAGTAATAGAGGGGCCGATGGGAGAGCCTGAAGAGTATAGACAGAGTTAGTGGGAAGGCCCAGATGGTGGTAGAGGGGTAGGTGGGAGAGCCCAGATGCTATGGAAAGTGTCATATACTGGATCCAACCGCTTCAATATCATTCACATCTGCTCTGCCTGACCCTATACCATTCCACTCTCCTCTTACTTCCACTCCACTCATTCCCTGCCCCAGCACATCCACTCCACCGCCTCATCAGTTACTTCCTGTATCAGTTCCATTCAACTGGAACCATTTCCCCATTAGGTATATACTTCCCCCTTCAGTACATAGTTAATCCTCTCAGATCACTGGTTATTCCTATAACCGTCCAATTATTGATCTGTCACATGCATACTGATATCTACTCTGACTTGTATGTTTTCCCTGTGATCATACTTACAAATTGTATACTCAGCACATAGCCTTATGCTATGTATTACTGATCACTGCCTCTTTACCTAGAGTATATAACATATCCTGTACTTAGCTTGTAGTTTCCTTAGTCTTAATATTACTTGTCTTCTTCAGTTTCTACTGAGGGAATTCTCTGTAGGACTTGCTCAACTCTGGACACAAGTTTCATCTTGTTGTTGCTTCCACTCCTCTGACTTGGAGCCATGCTCTAAGTCATTACCTCTTGTCCCCCTCCGTCCAATATACTTTACATCCAATCCCCTTTGATCCCTTCCACCTCCAACTTACTTCCTCTGCCTCTCCACCTGCATACTAGTTGGCCTGCCGCTAGTAACCTTTACTTCCCCAACCCTCAAGTGGACCAAAGTGGTTCACTCATTGGTCCCACTCCAAATTTGGGGCATGTACTCAGCTAAGGGTGCAGCACAAAAGCTGAAGCCAAGCCCCAACCCCTCCACTTCTCCATCCAAGCATAGTACCTAACAGGAAAGGGTGAGTGGGAGAGCCCAGATAGTAATAGAGGGGCAGATGAGAGAGCCTGAAGAGTATAGACTGAGTCAGTGGGAAAGCCCAGATAGTAATAGAAGGGCAGACAGGAGACCTAATCTAGTCTTCTCTCATCTCCCATATGACTATACAGTGACCTGTACCATACTGTCAAGGACATTGTGCACACCGTATAACATATAGTACAATAAGAGAAGTATCCATAAGGTCCCTATACATTGTATGATCATAACCATATGTAGTTACAGTGACTAGCTCTAGTAATAATGTTAAGGAAAGACATGCATCTTCCAATTCACTGTTTAGACATCATATTGTTCAATGACCTAATTTTATTTTACATGTATATTGTCATATACCAGATTCAACCACTCCCAATATTGTTCATAGACATCCCTACCGCTGGTCCAACCCCCTATTTCCCCATCTACTCCATCCCTCCTTCTCCAACAAATACATAAAGTGTATCTCAGCAGGACTATCCCTGCTACCTTTGCCTGACTCCGCTCCGCTCCTCCAACACTAGCCCTATTTCCTCCAACACTATACCCCTACCATCCGACCCTATCTGGAGCTCCACTCCTCCACCCTATTAGTCCGCCCGATCCTACTCCTACTCCCTCCACCATCTCCACTTTTCCGACCCATGTGGTTCCTTCAGTTTCTCTTGTGTCACTCCACCCGACTATTGGTCTGCCCGACCACCTCACCGGTCCACTCCTAGACTAGGAACCACTCAACTGGTCCTATCTCCTTTTAGTATCATAGTTCCTCCTTTCAGATCACCAGTAATCCCTATACCCGAGTGATTATTGATCTGTTGTGTACATACTGTTCTCCGAGCCCCTTTCTCATATGTCTCAGTCATCTTTCTAGTAATTCTGTACACTCAGCACATAGCATTCTGCTATGCTATGCTACTTACTTAGAGTATATAAACATATGTACATCTGTCTGTAGATCTTTAGTCTGAATATTACCTTTTCTAAGCCCTGCTCTCTTGTTCCTATTCTTGGGCGAAACCCTTGACAACTCCTGTCTGCTGGCCTAGGGGATTGACTCCCTAGGTCGGCCGCCTTCTCCACTCATCTGAATTCCCATGCCTCAGCCGCCTTTCCCATGCATCAGACTTGTGGCCAATACTCTCATACATCTGTCCTCTCCATCTCCACTCTGCTTTAGACTTCACCTGAGCAGTCCTATCCGCCCCACTTCTACTGTTACCTCCAACTGCAGTAGTCCTCCACCTCTCTCCTGTTGGGCAGACCAACCTCCATCCAACGTTCCCATGCTCATCTAGTAGTCTGTCGGTCCTCCTTTGGAGGACCTTCACTTCAACGTCCTGTTGGAGCTTGTAGAACTCAAGTCAGACTACAATCCAAAATTAGGGGCATGTACTTGGATAAGGGGCGCAGCACATGAGCTGAAGCCAAGCCCCTTGGACTCCGCCTTACCCCTGAGCACAGTCTTAATATATATCATCTGCCTTGCATATGTATATACTTACTACTGCTTTCTATCAATGTACAAATTGTGGATTTCAATGTCCTGAAAATGTTTGAAAAAGGACCCCTGTCACTCATATTTATCATGGGAAAGCCCACCTAATAAATGCACTGGGATGTCCCAGAGACATACTGAAGTGATCCCAGATGGGATTGGGAAATATCAGAAATGGGTACTAGGGATAGCCCAGATACTTTGTGTAGTGTGGACTGGGACATCCCAGTACATAGGGTAAAATATTGGGAATACCATCCTAGAACACACCCACTAGGTCCTTTGCTAGTCACAAACCAATAGATCTAAGAAGTCTTTTTAAGTGGTTGACTGAAGTGGTTACTGGTGGATGGGGCATCAATGGTTCTATGGGCTAACTTCGTGTGTGTAGCTTTATCAACCAAGATTCACTCTCCTTTGTTGCTCTTGGCTCCTTTCTGCTCCCTTTGTTTTGTAGGTGAATGTTGGCATTCATACAATGATGGAAGCACCTGTTAGGTACTGTGCTCAGATGAAGAAGTGGAGGGGTCGGGGCTTGGCTTCAGCTCTTTCACTGTGCCCTTAGCCGAGTCCATGCCCAAAATTTGGAGTGGGATCAACATTGTCCAATGATAGGACAAATGGACTGCTTTGGTCTGCTTGGGGGTCAGGGAAGTAAAGGTTACTAGCAGCAGGCCAACTAGTATGTGGTGGAGAGGTGGAGGAAGTAAGTCAGAGGCAGAAGGGATCAAAGGGAATTGGTTGGAGCGGAGGGTCGGAGGTGACAACAAGGTGAAACTTGTGCCCAGAGGAGGCAAGGTCCTACTGAGAATTCTCACAAGTAGTAACTGCAAGAAGACAAGTAATATTAAGACTGGGGAAAATATCTAAGTACAGGATATGTTATATACTTCTATGTATGAGGCAGTGATCAGGATAACTATGTTGTAAAGCTATGTACCAAGGATATAGTTTGTAAGTACTTTACACAGGCGAAGACATAAGTCGGAGTGGATATTAATATGTACGCATTGGATCAGTGATCGAGCGGTAATAGGAATTACCGGTGATCCGGAAGTAAGGGTCCATGTACCGAAGGGAGAAGCATGTATCTAAAAGGGGAAAGTGGATCCAGTTGAATGGAGACGTTATGGAAGGGGACCAGTTGGGTGGTCGAGCGAAAGCATAGAAGCGGAGTGTGGACTGTGATTGGACGGAGCGGAGGATGGATGGAAAGCAGAGTGGATATCAATATCGGAGCGGTTGGATCAGGTATATGACAGGGACAAGAGGTAAAGACTTAGAGCACAGCTCTAAGTCAGAGCAGAGGAGTGGAGGTAACAACAAGATGAGACTTGTGTCTGGAGTTGAGCAAAGTCCTATGGAGAATTCCCACAGTAGAAACTGGAGAAGACAAGTAATATTTCTGGAGTTGAGCAAAGTCCTATGGAGAATTCCCACAGTAGAAACTGGAGAAGACAAGTAATATTAAGACTAAGGAAAATACAAGCTAAGTACAGGATATGTTATATACTCTAGGTAAAGAGGCAGTGATCAGTAATACATAGCACAAGGCTATGTGCTTAGTATACAATTTGTAAGTATGACTACAGAGGAAAACATACAAGTCAGGGTGGATATCAATATGTACGCGATGGATCAGTAATCGGGCAGCTATAGGAATAACCGATGATCCAAGAAGTAAGAGCTATGTACTGAAGGGGGAAGTATATACCTGAATGGGGAAAGGGGTCCAGTTGAATGGAACCGATACAGGAAGTAAGCCGACCAAGGTGGTGGAGCAGGTGCGCTGGGGCAGGGAATGAGCAGAGTGGAAGTAAGGGGAAAGCAGATGATAGGATCAGGGGGAGCAGATATCAATGATGTCGGAGCAGTGTTAGAGACCGTGCTTGGATGGAGAAGCAGAGGGGTTGGGGCTTGACTTCAGCTCTTGTGCTGCACCCTTAGCCAAGTACGTGCCCCAAATTTGGAGTGGATCCAACGATGTCCGATGATAGGATGGGTGGACCGCTTTGGTCCACTTGGTGGGTCAGGAAGTAAGTGCTGCTAGCGGTAATCCAACTAGGAGCAGAGCAGAGGAGGTGGAGGGAGTTTATTGGGACAGAGGGGAGCAAGGGGATG